ACGTTTCATGCTTATCTTTTATTCGCTGTCCTTGTCTACGTTCGGCAAACTACAAAGGCGGGCGCAAGGCTCGAAAACGTAGTCCCTGATTCTACGAGTGTCAGGTTTAGCTTCTTTGCGGTCTGACACTTGTGGAGAATATACTGTAGTTGTTACCTGATACAGTACTAAAATAGAAAATGGCTGACGCTTAGATGCATTGTCAGAAAAGAAATTATAGGTTAAGGGGTTGACACATTAATGTCACGATAGGTCATTGAGATTTTCACATATTTGCCTCGAAATAAATTTATGAAACGCTATAAACGGTTCAATTTCTCTTCAGAAATACCGTAACAGATGTTTCATGAATTAAAACAATTGTATACGTTTTATAAAAGAAGTAATTTATCATTTTCTTCAAAATTTCGTTGAAAAATTTTAATTACTTCAAAATTTATAGCAGTCTTTTCCAACGTAACGTGACTGAAAGAAGAGACTCGAAATCACCACGCATGAGTACGAACTCATGACAAAACATGATTCAGAACGCCTCGACGCTAATGTGATAAATTGCATTAAAAAAATAAAAATGAAATTCGACTATTTTTCTAACATCGTTCCCACAAAAAAAGACTGAAATTCAATTTTATTTTGACATCGTGCCGTGAATACATTGAATCGACGACAGAGAAGATTTAAAGGGAACGAAGAAGCGTTAGAAAAATGAACACCCAGACGTTCGAGAATTTCCTATAATTATGTTCGTTCGCAACGAAATAATAGAGGATCCGTCTATATCTCTTACATTTCCAGTAATTTCGACGTGAATCAGGGGAACAATATCGTCTCCCGAGGACAATTGCAACTCGGCGAAACAACGATGAAAACCGATGGCCCTTTTAAATCCCGACTTTTCTCGTTAAATATTCCACAGATGTTAAAACATTCCTGGAATAGTTCAGGACACAAAAGGGCCTCGTGAACCTCTCGACCGTTGCTTTTCTTCCGAACTATCCGTCGGCGCGCAAACGGAAGTTAGGTGTTGGCGAAAGTTGGCAAAAAGTATTGGGCGCGTTTCAACAAACAGCATCTATCGGCGAGTACTTGGTTTCCAGCCATTAGCAAACGCCTGAACTTTTTCTCTCTCTCCTTTTTCCTTTTTTTTCTTTTTTTTTTTTTCAAAGCAATCCGAAACCAAAGTTCAGGTGGATCAAGCGAGGTTAACGAACTGCGACCTTTTGTAGCCACCATTACCAGACGATTTCAATTCTTTCGTGGGTGAATGGATTTCGCCGTCCGATCATCGGACAATGAAAATTCTCGTTTGGTTCGGTTTCATCGGTATATACCGGTAAAGAATAATACCCGTTTTCTAACGTGTACAGGTAAGTTGATAACTCGAGGATTTTTCAAATTTTTTTCAAATTTATTAATGGTTTGAAGAAATCGAATTTTTCTTTTTACTTAAATTGGTAGATTGTACTTTTAAAAATATACCCTTGGAGGGAATTTGTTAGGTTACAGGAAAAATATAAATGGTTTAGATTTATTTAGTAGATATTCAGCCCAAATTGAATGAAATTTTAGTGATGTATTTAGTAACAAAGGAGAAAGAATTTTTGACCTGATTTTAGGTCAAATTGACCCAATTTCCGAAAAATTTCTACACAATTTCATAATTCTCAGTCTTACAAATTAAAATTAAATTTAGAATTAAAATTAATCTTTATTACTGATATAACTAACCTTCGTCAGCATCTGTACCACGAGTCTGACTCATTGTTATAAGGTAAGGGGTTAAAGGGGGATATACACCTATATAGAGCAAAAACTTAAAAATAGCAAAATTCTTCATTATTTTTTAAACAAAATTCCCCTCAATTCTCTCAGAGATACAACAAGAATCGATGGAAATAATTACCGTTCGAAGTATCCCCTACTCTCACGATACCGTATGTATACACACAGAACTACTGATAAAGAGAACGCAACGTTAAGTTGAAAAACATCGTCGCAGTTATCCTGCTGCACTCTTGTTAAGTGAGAATGAAACGCGAAACCCCTTGGTGAAATCCAAGTGGTTCGTGTCCTCTACATCACGGCTTGTTCGTTCTAAAAGTTAGTACATACCGGAAGTAGTGCACTCCACGCTCTCCGTAGCTTCCTTTTTCTCCACATACCTCCGCATGATAGACTTAACGGTAATGCAATTTGCACAAAAATCTGCTAAATTTCGTATTCCACTAAGCGTGGGTTTATTATTAATGCCTTTACTCCGCGTGCATCGTCAAATCTCCACCGTAATATCCTGTTTATATTCATTTGTTAATTTAACCGTTAATCCGAACTGGGACGTTTCCACAGTTTCCTTATCGAGTTTCAAAGTAATTTATTTTCGCATCAATTAATGCTTAATTAGAAATTCCATCTCTTTCGCGTGATAATCAAAAATGGATTAAATTCAGAGGTTTAAAGTTCGTGGAAACTTAGTTGGCAGATTAGCTAATTATGCTTTAATTAAAAACTTGTTCTCCATAGGTCACAGATCAACTATAAAAAAAAAAGTAACTAACTTTACCAGATTTTTTATTGTTTCTTTTGTTATTTTACTATTTTATTATAAAATAAAATAATATGA